GCGGCAAGAGGGCGCTGGCTGCGCCGTGCGTGCGCCAGGCCGGGCGCACAGCTCCCTCTGCAGGAGCGCTGGCCGGGCCGCGCCGCCTGGGCACACCGAGGGCAACGCCGGATGCACCCCGCACCCACGCGGGATCTGCCGGCACCCGCTCTTGCTGGTCGGGCTACAGCGCCGTGTCCACGCCGGGTTTGGACCCAAGCCGCCCGGTACACGCCGGATACGCTGGCCGGGGCCACCGCGCGGGCACAAGTTGAACACCCAGGCCACTCCGGCCTAGGCAACCATGCGTCCTCTCACTCGCCCTCCCCAAACTCCATCTGCTGCGGCGCTAGGCGCTCGCGGAGCCTCCCTCAAGGAGAAGTAATATCAGGGTTTGTTTATTGATTCCCCCATTTTCTCCAGCCTTGCTGCTTCCGGGCTGGGTAAGGGCGGAGAAGAGAAACCTTACCTCTGCCAGCCTTGGGGGTAGAGGGCTTTTGAGGTGGCCTTATTACCACTGCCTTAATTCAGGACTTGGTAGGGAAAGAATAATGGATTATGATGACAGGGAAGGGAACACACATCCCTTCATCCCAACCTTCCTGGGCGGCATTGGTGGTTCACATTCAGATTATGGAGGCGCTCTGAGGTGTTGGTAAAACAGTAGGTGGATAAGTCCTTATTTGAGATTTATCAGTTTAGAGGACCAAGGCGGGAGGACTCGAAAGCATCTAGTGTCTTTTATTCACCCTGCCGGGTTACTTTATCCCTCTTCTGTGGACTTGTTTAGTTATTGAGCACCTACTGTATCCCTGTGGGGAACAAAGATAGTAGACAGGTGCTTAACCTCAAACCCATGAAACTTTAATAGTAATATTTTTTCATCTTAGTGCCAGTGGTGTTGTGTGTTCTGGTGTGGCTTTCTAGACCATCTAGAATAGGCTTTATAGCCCCATCAGCAGAGCTGTAGCATGTGCCCAGTGTGTTTTGTATAGCTGGCCTCTTAAAAGTCCTAGGAGATGACATAGGTGTGGCCAGAAGGTCCCTCATGTCCTGAACTCCTAGCAGATATGGTAACTATATAGGAACCCTGGTGGTGCAGTGGTTAAGCACTTGGCTACTAACTGAAAGGTGGACGGCTTGAACCCACCAGCCGCCAGTGGGAGAAAGATGTGACAGTCCATTTCTGGGAAGATTACAGCCTTGGAAACCCTGTGGGGCAGTTCTGCTCTGCCCTATAAGCAGGGCTTCAATCCGGTTTGGAAAAGTTCTTTAATTGCAGACATGAAGGACAGCAGCGTATGCATTGCACAGCAACCAAATCTGTTGCCCTGGGATTTTGACAGTACGAAACAAACAGTGGTGCCCTGCTCTGACCGTGCTGCTTTGAACGTATGTCCTCTCCACATGCCTGCCAATAATCTACTCTCCCACATGAGGCTCCTGAAACTTCCATGATCCATGCAGGCAACTGGATTATTTGCAGGACTGTGGAGAGTGACACACATTCAAAGTGGCTCAGTCAGCGCCATCTTTGAGCAGGGCAACGATGTTTGTTTCCTACTTGGGTCAAAATCTATCTGGCAACAGATTTGGTTGCTATGCAATGCTTACACTGCCCTCGTTTACATCCTCATTCTAAAGGTTGCTATGAGTCAGAATCTACTGGACTGCAGTGGGGTTGTCTTTTTGGTTTATGGTAACTATGGTAAATTTGTATCTTCTATTTCTTTTGTATTATGGCCCTAATTCCATGCCCCATGCTTAATTCACTGTTCATAGTGGGATGTTGGATGATCATTCATCTATTCCTGGATCACCCTCCTTGGGTAGCCTGAGGAGCCTCAGTTCTGGGAAAGCTCAGCATACTGATGCCAAACTTTGTGCAAGCAAACGCAGAGGCATAGTACACTGCAGCCCAACATTCCTGATCCCAGGTTTAGCCCCTCCCTTGACTGGCCATCATCAGACGCAGAAACTACCAGGCATTGCCCCCTCCTGCTACTTGTGTGGGGAGGGTTCTTTAAGAGCAATGCCAGAACACTTGATCCAGCAGAGGCCCTAACAATAATAATACCTAAACCAAACCCATTGTCATCAAGTCGATTTACAACGCAGTGACACTATAGGACAGTAGAACTGCCCCATAGGGTTTCCAAGGTTGTAATCTTTATGGAAGCAGACTGCCACATCTTTCTCCTGCAGAAAGGCTAGTGTTTTCGAACCTTTGACCTTTTTGGTTAGCAGCCGAGTGCTTAAGCACTGTGCAAGCAGGGCTCCAACATTGATAATAGTTAATGTTTATTGAGTGCTATTATGTGCCAGAAAATTCTTATTTAAACTTTATGAGATAAGAACTAATGTCTCCATTTTACAGTTGAGGAACACTGGGTCTTAGAAAGACTCGTGTCCAAGGCTGCACAACTAATAAAAAATACAGCCAGAATTCAAACCCAGCTCTCTCGTTAGTAACCTCTTGACAATTTCCCTCCTCATAAATAAGTAGAGGGATTCCATGATCAATCAGGGCACCCATTAGTAGGTGGAACTTCCCTAGGACTTTATCTTAGCAACACCTAAGGTAGAAAGTGGGGGCAGTGGTGGATCAGTGGTAGAATTCTCACCTTCTGTATGGGAGATCCAGGTTTGATTTCTGGCCAGTGTGCTTCATGTACAATCACCACTTGTCTGTCGGTGGAGGCTTGTGTGTTGCTGTGCTGCTGAACAGGTTTCAGTGGAACTTCCAGACTAAGATGGACTAGGAAGAAAGGCTTGGCAACCCACTTCTGAAAGATCAGCCTGTGAAAACTGTGGATCACAACAGTCCAGAATGCAACCAGTCATGGGGATGGTACAGAACCAGGCAGTGTTTCATTCTGTTGTACATGGGGTCACCATGAGTCAGGGCTGACTGAATGGCAGCTAACAACAACAGGGTAGAAAGTATGGAAGTTATACCCAAAGGACAAATCAAACCTCAGGTATAATCCTCCATTCTCCTCCAGTCAGCCATGCTGGTGCCCTGCTCTTCTGGACCTTGAAAGCCAAAGGTTGTATGTGGCACAGACAGTGTAATGGGCTACCAGCAATAGACTGTTTGCAACCTGAGTGAGAGGGATTTGGGGTGTGGGAGGGAGTAACTTAGATAACACCCATTCCCCACCCATGGCCACATTGTATACTTCCTGTGTGCCAGGTACTTGATATGCATTGTCTCCTTTAAAACTCATAAGAAAGCCCGTATTACACATGAGGAAAAGGAATCTCAGTAGCTTTAAAGGAGTTTGCCCAAGGTCATCGTACAGCTAGTAAATGACAGAGCCAAGATTCAAACTCATCAGCTGACTCCAAAGCCCATGCTCAACCTTGTCCGTGCATTTGAACCATCTCGGAAGTAGAAGTGCAACCTCCAGAATAAACACCAGAGTACTCTTGGACCTCTCTCACTGCAGACTGTTTCCAAGGGTATTACAGAATAAATCCATGCTCTAACCTATAACAACCCATTCCCAGAACATTAGATCCTTGGGGGTTAGGGGTGGCAGGGACATAGAAGGACCTTCAGCCTAAGAGTGGCCTTCAGCCTCTCCCCCATTACCTGAGCTCAAGCTTTGTATCCCAGTTAACCAGAGTCATCAGCTACGGAGGTAGGCGCAGGATCATTTACTGCTACTTGGGTGTCACAGACTCCCAATTTGCTTAAGAAAGCATTCATTCCAACTACACAGAGCAGTCTCCGAGAGAGGTAAATGCACAAGGGGTAAGTGGGGGCTGAAATCAATCCCATTCTCTTGCTGCACTGTGCACGGAGCATAGGCTACATCCATCTGGAAGAAGGGGTATCTTTTTATATTCTCACTGCCAAGGGGCTGCATCTGCTCCTCTAATCCACACAAAAGTGCCATCTTGTTAGTACCCCTTAGAGATGGATGCCTTGGGTGCTGCCTGGATAATCCACCCTTTAATTGGACTCTTATTTTCAGATAGCTAGGTAACCTACTGGAAACCCTGGTGGCGTAGTAGTTAAGCGCTGCAGCTGCTAACCTAAAGGGTCGGCAGTTTGAATCCACCAGGCGCTCCTTGGAAACCCTATGGGGCAATTCTACTCTGTCCTATAGAGTTGCTATGAGTTGGAATCAACTAGATGGCAACAGGTTTGGTTTTTTTTTTTCTGTTTAGCTAACTTACTGACTAATTTGTGGAGTACAGTCATTTCAGACTGCTTTCCCCCCAGAGATTTATATTACTTTTCCCAATGTGACTTTTTAGTGAAAATTTTTATATACCTCTGTGTGTCTAATCTCTGTGAGGCAACATGGAGAGAGCAAATGGAGTAAGAGTGAGGTTCTTTTCCTGGCCCTGCCACTAACTAGTTCTGACTTTGAATGAACCCATTACATCATCAGTAATTTTATCTATAAAATTAGAGAGTTGGATCAGGTGGATTCAGAGAACTCTAAGATTCTTTGATTCTAAGTGAGAACTAAAATGGAGCATAGGTAAAGAAAAACAGTTTCTGTGAAGTCGAATCTGACTTATGGTGACCCCATGTGTGTCAGAGTGGAACTGTGCTCCATAGCGTTTTCAAGGCTGATTTTTCAGAAGTAGATTGCTAAGCCTTTTTTCTGAGGCATCTCTAGGTGAACTAGAACTTCCAACCTTTTGGTTAGCTGCTGAGCATGTTAACCGTTTGCACCACTGGGGACTCCCGAGATAAAGGTAAAACCAGAAAACCAAGCCT